TCTTATCCGCTGCTGCTTCCTCCTCCTGCCTCACGCCACACCACGCCATTCCTTTCTCCCCACTCCTCCTCCTCCTCTGACCTGGACTTCCTCTCTTCCTCCTCCTCCCGCCTCCCGCCACACCACACCTTCTTCCTCCTCCTCCTACACCCGGAGTATAAGATGACCCCCGACTTTGGAGAAGATTTTCCTGGGTTAAAAAGTAGTCTTATACGCCAGAAAATGCTGTATATGTTGGAATGTGGTTAAGCCAAAAAGGAAGGCATCAGGACATATAGGAAACATCTGCAGCAGTTATTTCTCACAGCCAGTAAATGGAAATTTATGAGCTGTCTTCAGTCAGGTCCTGTTGCTACCTCTTCCCCATTAGTACACCTGGTAAGACTGGAAGATATGAATAGGAGAAATGTTGGAATATAACTTGGGTGGCCAGCGTGAAACCTGGGGCTGGGAAGCTAACCCTGGTCTCCAGAGTTACCTTTAATGGTTAGATGGAAAAGGGAATTTCTGCAGGTGTTCTTTTGCAACCAGGTAACTCTGGAGACCAGGGTTAGCTTCCCAGCTTGGCCATGAAACCCACTAGATGATCCTGGGCAAGGCATACTCTCTCAGCTTCAGTGGAAGGCAATGGCAAACCTCCCCTGAACAAATCTTGCCGAGAAACTTCCATGATAGGGTTGCCATAAGTCGGAAAGGACTTAAAGATACACAACACACACACACATACACACATGCAAAACTGGCTGGTGCGCAGTGTGCACCCTTGCCCTAAAGCTAGAATTTTAATTGATGTATATTATGTTATGAGTGAAGATTTACACTATACACCTGTGTTAACATGAAAATCAACTGTAAATCTGTTTAGCTGCTGAATGTGGAATTGGGAGGGGGGTGCCATCTGCCCTTTGTCTCAAATAGCAAAATGAATTAGATTAATTCCTGCTCCTTCCAAAGTATTCACTCATGCACCAGCATATTTGTTTTTGCAAAGACAAAAAAGTGCTAAATTAGTTGGGTGTATATCCCCCTAAACTCTGTGATATCTTCACCGTAGAGCTGCCATAAGACAGAAATGACATGAAGGCACACAATAGCAACAAAAGTATATGTATACTGTTAGGCTTTCCATCTCATACAGACATGCAGAGACAGTTCAGAGTGGCAGATACTTATGCTTCCCCCTTCCAGAAGCAATCTGATACCTTCCCAAACTGGCCACCCAGTTTGAAAAGTGATAAGTTACAACTGTGTGTATGCAGTTTGCCCCCAAAGAAATGGGAACCATATTGTTTTAACCTTCTGTCAAACTAGATGCTACATTTATAGTGTTATTAGAAGAAGTGCTCCCTCAAATGGTGAGAGATAGCTGCTTCACTTTTCTCACCTATGTATTTTGCTTTTGATGTGCATTGTTTTCTAATTGGTCATTAGGAGGTAAACACGTGGTTAATTTGCAAGCTGGATTGCCGATGCAGTTACCTCTGAGAAAATCCTGTTGTGGGAAACAGAATGAGTTTACCATAGAATACACAATCCCTTTAATGTCTGATATGACCCCAGGATGTACTACTTTAGGAAAGCTGGTACTGATGTTTCATTTTGAAAGATTTTGCATTATGTGGAAAATCCAAGAGGTAGTAAGACAAAAAAGAGCATAATTGGTACTTCTGGGACTCAAAGGAGTGGGGATTCATTCAGCTTGCCATTTTTTAAATCTTTAAGCCAGGACATGTTGTTGTTCAATGCCTTCAAGTCATTTGTGCCTTATGTGACCCTAAGACAAACCTATCATAAGGTTTTCTTGGCAAGATTTGTTCAAAAGGGGTTTGCCTTTGCCTTCCTTTGAAGCTGGGAGAGTATGACTTACCCAAGGTCACCCAGTGGGTTTCCATGGCTGAGCGGGGATTTGAACCTTGATCTCTAGAGTTATAGTCCAGTGCTCAAACTATACCATGCTGCCTCTTTTCTTGCTGCCTGACTCCAAACACTGCAGCTAGGCTGAGGAAAGCAGAGGAAGGCAAGAATGTAGTCTGTCTCCATCAGTTCAGATTTCATTCTCCTGTGTGTTGTGTTGTTTGCCTTCAAGTTTTGTTTCCAAATTATGGTGACCCTATCACAGGGTTTTCTTCGTAGGTGTCTTCAGAGGGGGTTTACCATTGCCACCCTCTGAGGCTGAGAGACTTGCCCAAGGTCACCCAGTAGGTTTTCATGGGGATCCCAACCCTGCTCTCCAGAATCCTAGGAGATTATCGCAGCGCTAATTAAATTGGCTTACCTGAGCTGGCTTAAAATTTTAAACGGGTGGCATCCTGATGTTATCACAAGGATTTTGCAGCTGAAATTGCCGCCCAGGTCCATCCCTGCTCCCAGGGCCACTCCAGCAGCCATTTCCTTAAGCTGGAAAACTCTCGGCTTCAAAAAAAGCTGCGCTGAACGGCCCTGGGAGCAGGGATGGACCTGGGCTGCACCCGGATGGCGATTTCGGCAGCTAAATCCTTGTGATAACATCAGGATGCCGCCTGTTTTAAATTTTAAGCTGGCTCAGGTAAGGCGCTTTAATTAGAACTGTGATAAACTCCCTAGTCCAATGATCAAACCAATATGCCATATTGATTCCTTCACTCTCCTACCCTGCCCTATGTCTTGTGTTTTGTGAAATAAATAAATAAACAATACTGTAGTTTTCCAGGTTGCTTGTTACTTGGACCTTTGCTCTTGGATCCTAGCAGCCTCTTGTTTAGTTCACAATGACAATATCTTGCTCACTTGCTCAGCAAAACACTTATTTAGGAATATCACTTTTGGCCTTAGGCATGGACCAGAAACAGAATCACAACTGTTGGAAACTTCCTTCTTTTTCCTCCCCAGAGGATACCAAGGGTAATCACATGTGATGAGAGGTTCCCCTGTCTTTGATCATATGAAAATTAATTGTGGTATTACTATGCTGCCTTTGTCCATGTGTAAGGAAGCTCTTTTAGCTCAAGGGCCAAAATTGCCAGATGTTTTAGTTTTCAGTTCCACTACCAGCAGCTCAGCCTTAGGAGAGGAATTTCAGTCTTTTAGAATGAATGGCAGGGGTGCAATGTACAAACACTGGAAAATAATCAAAGGATATCATAGGTAAGGGAATGTGGCACCAGGCAAAGCCCACAAAAGCCACATTCAGCTCTAAGGCCTGAGGTTTCTCACTCCTGCCTTGCTCTATCCAGGAAGGTATGCAAGGGACAGGGCTGA